CCCTGAAATTGAATGCATTTACAAAAATTATCTTCTGCTATGAAAATATATATGTCACTGTCACTGTCCTCCCGTTGTTCATCGATTTTCTCCACCGGGCCCAGTAACGTCTCCATTTTTATAGACTCGTTGTTACTGTGTTTGGCATATCAATATATATTTAATTTTTATTAGTGAAACACCAAGAGATACAGTTGTAGACTTACAAATTTTTGTGCTTGGGTTTCAGTTATACAATGATCGAATACCAATCCCTCCACCAGTGCCTATTCTCCACAAACAATGATCCCAGTATCCCTCCAACCCCCTATCCCCCCATCCCACCCTGTCTCTGTGGCAGGGCACCCCCTTTTGTCTCTCTCTCCTCTTGGTTGCTGTGGTTTGCAAAAGAGGAATTGAGTGGCAACCATATTCGGTCTATAGTCTACTTTCAGCATGCATCTCCATCCTGGGCGGATCTTCCCAACACTCTTTATTTGGTGTTCCCTTCTCTATCTGAGCTGCCTTTACCCCTAGACTGTGAGGCTGGCCTACAAGCCATGGAGTAAACCTCCTGGTACTTATCTTGGCTATTCTTGGGTGTTCGTCTCGTCTCCTATTTTGTTACTTTATGTTCCCCAGATGAATACAATCTTTTTATGTCTGTCCCTCTCTTTCTGACTCATTTTGCTAAGCATGATACTTTCTACGTAGTATCACTTGCATGTAAATTTTATGACTTCATCCTTTCTAACAGCTACATAGTACTCCATTGTGTAGAGGTACCAAAGTTTATGAAAGTATATTTTAAGTCTTATTACTTGCTTATGCTCTATAGCAAACCTTGGACAAATCACAATATATGTGTATATATGTATATATGTGTGTCTGGATAGATGTATGTAGATGTGCATATTATATGCATAGTTATCAATATGTAACTTATATAAATTTTTAATTTATATGTTATGTACATCTCACTGAATATTCTTGAAAGTCAACACCTTCCTATTGCATTGACTTGGCAATGCACAATAATTTTAAGGTACTAAATTTAGAATGTCATGATGTATGCTGTGATAAATTTGTGCTTAGTAAATATTGTGCGAGCACAAAAAGACAGCAGTGGTCTATCTCTCCTGCCGCCCGCATTCGGTAGTTTCAGGCCATTTTCCCCACTCTAGTGTGGTTGATGGCGATGGGCAGGCCAAGAAAGGAAATAAGGGCCAGGCTGGTTGGTCTTAGTTGCAGTTTATTCCAACCCTCTCTCCATTCACTCCTGTCTCTCCTCTGCCTCCCCCAGCCCACTCTTACAATCTCATTATACCCCCGAGCATGAGGGATTGGTGTTGAGTGAACGTTCCTTCAGTCAGAGGCACAAAAGAAATTTGTCATGGAGGGCCCATGTTCTCTCAGACCTGTGACCCCAGTAGAGAGCCTTGAAATCTCCTTTTACTGATCATGGTACCTCTAAAGGGCACAATTCAGTGATATCATCAAAAGGAGTTAACAGAAAGAACATTGAGGCAGCAAAACATGCATTGTTTCTTTGCATCTGCAGGCCAGTAATTTTGGCCTCCTGAAAGAAGATACAAAACCAAAAGTGAAATCTTCCTTGGGCTAGAAGCACTTGGATTTGCATGCCAAAGACTAGTCAGCTGGAACTTGGAATCTACTTCCCAAAGACAAGTATCTGAAATTTGCATCCCAAAGACCAGTTTGGCTAGAGCCTGGAATCTATATCCCATAGATCTGGCCTGGCTAGCACCTGAGATGCATGTCAAAGACCAGCCAGGTTTCTGTGAGAAAAGGAAAACTGCCCCTTACAATGTACTGAAATTATTTACTGAAGGCAGTTTGAAGGGGATAATGTTCAGCCTCATCCAAACTAGTCAGGACACAGGAGAAATCTTGCCCATTTTCATGGGTCCCTATGTTCCTGCCCTTTGTGGGGTGCAGTCTACATGGGCTCACCCTGACAGCTCAGCCCAGCCCCAACAGGTTGGGGTAACGGTTACACATAGGTGTGGTCACAATCAATAGGGGTAGTGTTCTTTCCCTTGGGGTAAGCCACCTCTAGAACAGATTCTCATTTAGGAGAACGACCCACCCTAGAACAGAATCCCCTGGGTATGTTTCTCCTCTCCTTATCCAACAAACATATATAAATCATTTTGTATGGACACAGTAAGAAACACTTTAAGCTTATAGAATTGCTCCCCTAGGGCCACCTCAGACTACAGTGCTCAGGCCAGATAATCTTTTCTATCCCTAGCAGGATCCTAGTCTCATTGTTATTTTTGGCTCATGACAGCATTTGTCTATGATCAAGCTCTTAATTTACAGTTAATAATCGTGGCACTTTAGCCTGGCCAATTTCGATGCCAGGGTAGCTCACAGCTTGCCCTGAGTCCATTCAGCCCCTTGTCGGGACCCTGCTTTAGGGTGCTAGGAATTAAGGGGAACTGAGGCTTAAGTCCAGAAAGCAGATGCCCAGGAGTGAGTAACATTCAAGCCAATTAAATCCTAAGTTACAAAGCATAATATTAACTGTCTTCCTGTATCTATCCAAAAAGAACATTGCATTAAATTGATGTTGGTGGACCCCATGGGTGGCTCACTCAAGTCAGAGGAAAGAAAGACGGTCACCCTCTCTCACTCCGCCTCTACCAGCCAGAAGTCCCTGGGAAGACTAGGACCGGTAAAGTCTGCAGTGAGCCCCTGCTCAGCATGGGCCCGAGCCTTGCCAGCCCGACAAGGTGGCCATCAGGCCACACCTGAAGTCCGCTTGGTCTTCTCAGCATGGGAATTGATACCCGCCACCCGATTGCTCCGGGAGCCACGGACTTAGGTTGGGGTGAGGATTTGCTCTTTGCAGGAAAGGAGAGGTCACTCCCAGGACTTACCCAGGGTTTCTAGGGTTCTTGTCTCGCTCGCAGAAAAGAATTTCAGGAGTAGGCGAGCAGTGAAATAACAAATTTTATTTAGAGGTTTTTGGGAGAAAAAGAGAAAGGGATAAGCAGATAAGTGGGGAAATGGAGAGTAAGAGAGACAGAGTAACACGCTCAGAGAGAACTTGGGCTTCTCCAAGGGTGGAGAGAGCCCCAAATGGGCTCTTGGGTTGGCTTTTATGGATCCTTTGAGGCCGTTTCTGATTTGGAATGTTCTGGAATCTCCTTGGGCTGGGTCACTGAAGTTAATCGGATTCAAAGGGAGGTCCGAGGATTTTAGAAAAGAGGAACTTCATGGGGAGGGGGCCTATATTCTCAGGATGGTCTTATCAGTTCTTTGTTTTCTGTATCCACAAGGTGGATTAGTCCTAGAATTCTTCTTCCATGAAACTTTGTTAATCCAAGTTTCATTGCCAAGGGCCTTTCCGTAGCTACATGCCTACCTCAAAACTATTCAAAAGACATAAGGAGAGGAGAAAGGCAATATTATCTTACAATACACGTTCAGTGTCCCTGAAGGATCTGACCTTACAAATTAACAGATTCTGACTAGGGGAAAAGCTAATTAACTGGTTGGGGTGGAGAGCATAGAAGTGGTTAAAGAAAGGATAAATCAATTGTTATCCTACAAACACGAAATAACAGAAATTCAGCTTTCAGAAGAAGGCAAGTCGATATGAGAAAAAAAGTCTCTCCATCAAAGTGGCTAAATTTTCTGATAAAGATGATGTAAGTCATAGATGGTGGATAGATTGTCTGGGAAGCAGTCCCTAAGTTGGAATTTAGAAGGCAAGGTGCTTCTGAGAGTCTATCTCAGGGGCCTTTTCTATGTACTACAGTAAAAAAAGAAGAGTTGGAAAGAGCGAGAGAACCAACCTCTCCATGATGTTATTGGCTCCTTGGCAGGCTCCAAGGGAAAGCTCTGGCACTAAACTTGTTCTTCCACATTGAATGTGCCGACAATGTCTGGATCTTTATAACTTGACAACAATTCTAGTTCAGAAGGGTTGTTACCTTGGGAAGACAGGGATATATTTCTAAGGAAAAAGTCACTCCGTGAAAGAATCTGAACAGCACTTCCAAGCATATCACAAACAATCTGGATTGAAGACTATGCTGAACTAATCATAATGTATGTGCCCTGAGGACATCAATACCAACTGGAAGTGAAATGGTACAATGTTACTCAGTTTTGAGAAGACACCTGGAGTGAATGATAGTATATTATAGCTAGTAACTTTCTAGCCCTTTATTCTGGCATTGACCATCTGATCCATTTATTATTGTATAATTTTGTTACATTTATATATTTATATATATATGTGTGTATATATATATACTAAATTTTTTTCTAAGAAGTTACTTAAAAATTTTACTTCTACATTTTTAATTTAAAATTGTTACTTCTAATAATTAAGCAATTCCATACCCCTCTCCTGAGTCTGTGCAATTGATCAAAATATATTGGCATATGCTAGCGTAGAAAGCATAACAGACAGAAAAATACATTGAACTCTTTTAATTATTATTAAAAAGGCATGCTCCTTTTAACCAGAGTTTTCAAGTTCTTCAACTGTCCTGGAGTTTTCATAAATGTTTTCTAGACAAGTGTTCGTAAAACTATTCTATACGTTAACATGATGTGAAAGGCTTGTTAAAAATAAATAAGTAAATGTTTGCTGCTTTCACTTACAGTCAGCGGGTTGAGAGTAAGAAGCGTTTGCTCAACCACGTTGAGCATTTACTGACTTTAAGCCACTTGTACCCCTTGGTATATTTTGTTGCTGATGTCCATGTCCAAGATGTTTATTGCTTCTTCCCTGCCAACCCGTTGTTTCTTCAGCTTTCACTTGAAACTTTTCTCACAGATTATCCACTGAAGGACTGCTATGAGTGACTGCCTAATAATTCTGTCCCCTTCTCCATTTCACACATTTTTCTCTTGAAAACAAAAAAAGTCACGGTTCCTCTCGCTCTGCCCCCGGACCCTTTTTTATCCATGAAAAGGAAACGGGCGTTTTTGATAACGGCTTGACTAAGTCCATTTTGTTTTGCTTGTGTCTGTCATAGATAACACAGCCAGCATTGTGACCAGGCGGAGGAGATTTAGTCGAAGTGTTCAGGATGTGTATTATCTGCCCATTCTCATCTCTGACGGTGGCATCCCCTGTCTCAGCAGCAGCAGCACCCTCACCATCAGGGTCTGCGCCTGCGAGAGGGACGGGCGCGTGCGGACCTGCCATGCGGAAGCCTTCCTGTCCTCAGCGGGCTTGAGCACGGGAGCCTTGATTGCCATCCTACTGTGTGTGGTCATTCTCCTAGGTAAGTCAGTTGTGCAATGGGGAATGCCATCCGCGAAGGAGAATTTCATGGAATGCATTTGTCTTAGAGATAGGAACATTAAGGTAAAGGTAAAGGTAAAGGCCCTCCCGTTGATCATCGATTTGCTCGAGTGGGCCCAGTAACATCTCCATTGGAGACTTTGTTGTTACTGTGTTTGGCATATCGAATAGTCACGGGGAGCTTGCCACGCTCTGCCGTGCGGGCGAGATACTCTCGGTGGCTTGCCGGGTTCTCCGAGAGGGGCGGAGGAATCAAAATCGGGTCGGTCATGTTGGCTGCGTGCAAAGCAAACACCCTACCGCTGAACATTAATGGGGAGAAAAATCATTTTCTTTTCCCATTTGTCTTGCATTTCAACACTGTCAATGTCACTGTCCTCCCATTGTTCATCGATTTGTTCAAGGGGGCACGGTAACATCACCATCATGAGACTTATTCTTACTGTGTTTGGCATATCGAATACATCACGGGTAACTTTCCAGGCTTTGCCGTGCAGGTGAGATACTCTGGGTAGCTTGCCAGGCTCTCTGAGAGGGGCGGAGGAATGGAACCCGGGTAGACCAGTAGGCTGCATGCAAGGCAAATACCCTACCACTTTTGCTATGTTTAAGAAATAAATTCTTGCTATATTTAAGAAACAAATTCCTTTAAAGGAAACTGCATTTAAGAAAATATTTGAATACTTTCTCTGATTGTTTTTATCACCTTTGGAGTGAAGTTGATGGTATTAGAGAGAGAGAGAGAGAGAGACAGATAAAGACAGAGAGACACAGAGACAGAGAGATACAGAAATAGAGAGAACCAGAGAGATAGAGAGAGATAGAGATAGACAGAGACAAAAAGAGAGAGAGGAGAGAGAGAGAGAGGAGAGAGAGAGAGGATTGGAGTCTGGAGGAGGAATGTGCAGAGCCAAGAAAGGCAAAGAAAGAAGGTCAATCTCCTTTGAGTTAACTTTCCTAAAAGCAGACTGGATCTCAGCCAGTTGAGTGTGATGAAAGAGTTGAACTAACCATTGAAAGACAGACTATTAAATTGATCTTTTTTAAAAACAGCATCTTGTGGAAAGAATTGATGTGAAGAAGTCTGTGCCATAGGGAAAGAACTGGATGGCTTAATTCAAATTATACAGTTAGTTTCATTTAAAATAAATCTTATGCCAAATTAAAGCAGATTTGTATCTGGAAGTGTCTATTAGTCTAAAATATCAATTGTTGCTATTAATTGATTAAAAACATTAACTTACATATTAGGAAGTTACAACAGTGTAAAATCCATGGGATTCATACTCAAAATTTCTATATCCCATCACTGCATGCCTAATCACTAAAGTGAGCATGATCCTTGTCCAATGTCCTCTCTCTCTCTCTCTCTCTCTCTCTCTCTCTCTCTCTCTCTCTCATGGTTTTCCTTCTCTCCTGCCATTTCTACCCATCCCCAGTGTTGGGTAATTGGTTCTGTATTCCAATGTCAAGGGCTAGGCATAGTTCAGTACTGTATATGTTCTTATTTTAATGCTCTATATTCCAGAGGAATAAGAATTTCATGGAAATAATTTCCCTAGAGATATAATACATATATTGGGTGTAAAATTATTTTTTCCATTTGTTTTACATTTCCATAAAATTAAATATTGTATTTTAATACTTTCTCTAAATTTATTATCACCTTTGTAGTCAAGTTGATGATACCATGCACTTTATTTTTCCGTATTGTTATTTAAAACAAGAGAGAAATCTCATTTTTTTTAAAAAGAAAGAAAATGTAAAGATTCTTTCTGCTTCATAGTTCAAAGCGGGTAGATTTTTTCTTTTTTTCAGTGTGTTCATCCTGGGACTTCTGCCTTTCTCTTCACCACCTTTTCTTTTGTTCTTTTCTCAGCATCATGCACAAATGGTGAGACAGATGTTCTTATGAGAATAGTTTCATTTTATTTCCAAGGCAAAAGAGAAATTATCTGTACAAAAGAGTAAATAGAGAGCAAGACGGAATGAAGCTGAAAACTAAAAATTGCCTTGAGGCAGAGTTTGAGACAGTTAGGGACTAGAGAAGGTGGCTTTGCTTCAGGGTATTAACAGGTTTTACAGCAATCAGAGCCTCAACAAGGCTTGCAGTTGAAAAAGAAAAAGGAGATTGAAAGAAATAAAGAAGGATCATACTAGCAGGAGAATATGCAGGAAAATAGATCAGGAAATTACTACAGTCTCCTTACCCAGATTTACCATTGTTTAGATTATTATTGCAGAGATAAAGAAAATGGATAATATCAGATATTTTAAATGAATGAATGAAACATGAAGATTCCAATCCTCATGTGAAACGATTTACGAAAATTTTAGCTGCATAGTTAGTAGCAGTATTTGAAAACTGATATTGATAATTCCATACATTTATGGCACTGTGACGTTCTTAAAATAACATTCTAAGAGTGAAAGTAAATACAATAGGCATTTTTAAAAAAATCATCTGAGCTACATAAGATTTATGGCTAATTTCAAATAGTATCAACTTTTGACCTCTTGTTAAATGCCCATTCCATCTTCCATGTGCTGGAAGGTACAAGAAAGGCATTTGTTGAAGTTAAGACAAGAAATCCCAGGGGAGAGAGAGAGAGAGAGAGAGAGAGAGAGAGAGAGAGAGAGAGAGAGACAGAGAGAGAGAGACAGACAGAGACAGACAGAGACAGACAGAGACAGACATAGAAACAGAGAGAGAGACAGAGACAGAGACAGAGACAGAGACAGAGGCTAAAACTAAGCTGTGACAGCCCATTATGCTCTATGAGTCAGGAAGTAAGATCTGGCAGAAGATGGTGAAAAGTCAGAGAAGGAGGAAAATAAGAAAATGGTGAGAAACGTTGATAAAAGTCATGGGTAAAAGAAATGTATCAAAGAGGACAGAACCTTTAACAATACTTGCCAGGAGTTAAAGAAATTGAGTCCCAAGGAATAGCACATGCCTTTAGCAAGGAAGTTTGATGTGCAGTACAAGGACTTTTCACTGCAGACGTTCCTAATAAAACCACCAGCGGAGACAGAAGTTGAGGAGATCAGAATTTATAAGAGTTTTTTTTCTTGATATATTGATTGCTTGCAGCTGCTATTTTCTTTCAATAGTCAGGTATTACTTCTGTGTCTTTAAAAATTAAAACCAAATACAAAGAAACATCGAAACTCCTGAACAGAAAATTCAGGCTGTGACCATCAATCCCCTAGGATTCTTAACTTAGTACAGAAAGATTTTAACTCAGGGAGTGGAGCAGTAGTACAGCAGGTAGTGGTTTGCCTTGCACATGCCTAACCCAGGTTGGATCTGTCATGGCCCATACGGTCCCCTGATCATGGCCAGGAGTAATTTCTTAGTGTGGAGCTCAGAGTAACTCCTGAGCGCCACCAGGTATGGCCCAACAACTAGGCAGAACAGAACAAAGACAAAAACAAAACTCAGTGATCTGAATCTACCTCCATATCTGGTGAACAGTCTTCAAACACAAATCATTGGGGAGAAGCATTCTAACCTTGGATTTCGTTTCCGGTAACATCAGTTTTTGATGCTAAAATAAAATTCTTAAAAGCAATTAAAATATTAAAATGCAAATACATTTTAAGATATATTATTCACAGTAATGCTTTATTATTCACGAAACTATGCCTCTCTTTAATTATTACGTAAAATGTTTTTTCCCCCTTAGGGGTTGATAAAAGAACATTTCCAAATTTTATCCTAGCCCTCAGAACTAGTAGAACGCAGGTAGGATTTGATATGTGTACACTTTCAATGTATATTGAAAATCAAATGTGTTTTTATAATTCCATCTAAAGGTTGTCAAATGATTTCTTAAGCCGGTTTTAAATGATAATCATTCATCATGTTAGTCATAGTGTTCATGGCATTGTAAAAGTGATTATTGTTATTTAGAGATCTCTAGGCAACAGTCTCAGGTTTTACTTATTTATTATTTTAATACTTTTTGGTTAATGTGTAAACTCATTTTCTTTTGAAAAATATCACAGCAGTAGGGCATTTGCCTTGCACGCAGCAGACATGGCCGACCCGAGTTCGATTCCTCCGCCCCTCGCGGAGAGCCCTGCAAGCTACCGAGAGTATCTCGCCCGCACGGCAGAGCCTGGCAAGCTCCCCGTGAGATATTCGATATGCCAGACACAGTAACAACAACGTCTCCAATGGACCAATGGAGATGTTACTGAGCCCGCTCGAGCAAATCGATGAACAACGGGAATCATTAACAGGGTAGAGAGATAATACAGGTGTTAAGGCACTTGCCTTATATGCACACACTTTGTGTTGTATTTGTTTGAAGGAGGGGCACACCTGGCAGTTACTCTTGACTCTGTACTTAGGAATCATTCCCGGCAAACTTGGGACCTTTGGGATGCTGGGGTTGAACCCAGTTCAGCAGCATGCAAGACTAGCACCTCGCTGACTGTACTACCTCTCCAGTTCTTGCCTCTAATCTGGTTTGAATCCCCAGTACCACATACGGTTTCCCAGTCATGACCAGAAGCTACTCCTTAGCACAGAGCCAGTGATACTGTGAACACCTCAGCTTCAGTTCCAAAGTAAACAAATCAACAACAGCGATTATTATTAAACAAAAAATGTTTAATAGCAACAGTAAAACTATTATAAAACTGATGTTTAATATAACAAACTGAGGTTTGTTATAAACATGAAATCAGTTTTAACATTAATATTTTAGTAGTGAAAACTATTAGTGGTAAGCTGTTTCTATAACTGGCTATTATTGTTTAAATCGAGCCCAAGTTTGAATGCAAGTAATTGGATTCTTAGTGACCTGTTTCAACTTGTTTCCATTTCTAGATCTTTGAAAGAAAATTCCACCTACAAGGAACTTAGACTCACCTGTATGTTTTGTGGGACTTATTTGTCTCTTATTCCAGGTTAAATACAATTTATTGTTTAAAAAATAATGTCAGATGCCATGTGTATACATTAATTATCTGAACATGGTGCTTTGAAAGCCACTTTATATTTTTTCCTTTTTTTTTTATTAGTGAAACACCATGAAGTACAGTTGTAGACTTACAAATCTTTGCGCTTGGGTTTCAATTATACAATGATCAAATACCCATCCCGCCACCAGTGCCCACCCTCCACCACCATGGATCCCCGTATCCCTCCGACCCCCATCACCCCCATCTCACCCTGCCTCTGTAGCAGGACATACCCTTTTCTCTCTCTCTCTCTCTCTCTCTCTCTCTCTCTCTCTCTCTCTCTCTCTCTCTCTCTCTCTCCTTTTGGGTGTTATGGTCTGCAAAAGAGGCATTGAGTGGCAATCATGTTCAGTCCATAGTCTACTTTCAACATGCATCTCCCCTCCTGGGAGGATCCTCCAAACACCCTTCATTTGGTGCTCCCTTCTCTATCTGAGCTGCCCTTTCCCCTAGAATGTCCGGCTGGCCTCTAAGCCATGGAGTGATCCTCCTGGTACTGATCTCGACTATTCTTGGGTATTAGTCTCCTATTTTGTTAGAAAGCCACTTTAAATGGTAAATAAAAAAGGCATGAGTCGAGTGAATTTCAGTGAGGACTTCTATGTTTTGAAATGGACAGAAGGACATTTACTTTGGACCTTTATGATATAATCAGACCATGACGTCAGAGAGAGTCATGCAGTCTTTCACTTTTTCTCCCAAGAACTTGACATTTCTTTCCCTTCCCACATCAATGGGACCAAAGCAATTGTCAGAGAAATGTTTACTCACACTTGGCCTTCAGATCACTGAATAAGCTTCAGATAAGAACACGCTTGCCATCTATCCTTTGCAAATAATGTGTGGGTTTCCCTTGAACAAAGAATTGAATATAATAGAGAAGTGAAAGTATGTGATAGAACACAGTAACTTCAAGAACTACTGAAAGTTACAGTCCTGACTTGGACTGTTTCATTTTCACCAGTACCACTGTAGCACTGTCTTTCCGACAGCTACATCGATTTTCTGGAGTGGCCATCAGTAAAGTCTCAATTGTGAGACTTGTTACTGTTTTTGGCATATCCAATACACCACAGGGAGCTTTCCAGGCTCTGCTGTGCAGGAGGGATACTCGCAGTAGCTTGTTGGGCTCTCCAAGAGGAACAGAGGAATCGAACCCAGGTCGGTCATGTGCAAGGCCCTACCTGCTGTGCTATTGCTCCAGCCATTTTCACAGTAGGGAAGCAAAAACTCTGCCACCTCAGAAATTTACAAGATTATTAGCTATTTCGTAGTATATTCCCCCCCCCCCCCGCCAAAAAAAAATCTGTTTGATTTTGGGAGGATATACTTGATGATACTCAGAGCTTAATTCTGGCTTTGTGCTGAGGGCTCTCTCCTGGAATTGTTCACGAGGCCATATAGGATTCTAGGGATTTGAAAAGGATTTAACCATGTGTAAGGAGAAAGCAGTAATCCATAACACAGTAATTATTTGAATATATTAATTTGATTGTATCTATATGACCATATCAGATCAATTTGATCTCTAATTCATTTCAGATCCCTCGATTCTACTTGATACAGGTTACTCTTAGTCACATGTCCAAGTGTTTATTCATTCCATGTTGCAGAATTTTTAAATAATGAAGGATCTACGGAAATATTATTTGTGGTGGAAATTCAAAAATCAGTGTCCAAGCTCTGAGTGATCTTAGATTTAGGTACTAGTCATTCATGCAATTTTTCTGAGTATTACTTTCCTCATTTTCAAAATAGACTAAGGAGTTCTATTGTGATGATTAAATACAGCAGGTATGTAAAACATTTTATTAAGTGACAAAATCCTCTACAACACAAGTTGCTACCCGTTAGAAGATATCATTTGCAATGTGATGGATAAATGCAATTATTAATTTTCCATAGCATTATTTTAAATGATCAAAGGTAAAAGGATTATCCATGTAAAGTATCACTGCTTTGAATTCCTACATACCATCAAAAGAAAGACCTTAAGGAAGAACTGCTTGCTCCTATCTTACAAAAATTTGAAATAGCAACCTTTAGTGGATCTAGCTCAAAGGATTAAGTACCTGTTGACAGAACCACTCACTCCAGTAATTTTTTTTGTAATTCTTACATATATTTTGTCCGCCCCTCTCGGAGAGCCCGGCAAGCTACCGAGAGTATCTCGCCCTCACGGCAGAGCCTGGCAAGCTCCCCGTGACATATTCAATATGCCAAACACAGTAACAACAAAGTCTCCAATGGAGACGTTACTGGGCCCGCTTGAGCAAATCGATGATCAACGGGAGGGCCTTTACTTTACTTTACTTTACATAAAAGTAGTCCACAGTAGTTCATTACAGGTGAACACCAATCTTACCACCAACCACCTTCCCACCACCATAAAAGGGAAGTGTGTGAAGGTTGTTGTATTTCATTCTGGAGCCATGCAAGCCCATATGTAAGAGAATACAAGCAAGCATGTTAAAACCAATCAGATTTGTGCTACTTTTAGTATGTAAGTGGGCTACAGTACAAGAGGTCATTTGCAGCCATGCTCCAGGAAGTTCTGCAGTGCTCTTTTCTGGGAGCTTTTAGTTTATAGTCTCTGAATCTTGGCCATTGATGAGATTACATGGTGCCAGGGTCAGTTTGTGGTTATGACTGCCAATCTACTGGAAAACTGGGGAGCTGGGGGGAGGAGGACCAGTCCCGGTCCAAGCGGGGTTGGAGGTCTCAGTCAAGGGGCCGGCATACCTAGGTTTCTCTGTCAGTTCCCTCTTGGGTGTCACTCCAGTATTTTTGCAGTTCCATATTGCTCTCTCACCTTCTTTTCCCTCACAGTAAACATTGGCTGTTTTCATAACTGCAGCAAGATTCAAGAATTCTGACCACCTCGCCTGACAACTGAGGGTATTAAAGCATGCTACCAAACACCAGAAATTCTCGATATTTTGTAGCATTGATATTCTTTTTCTTTACATTATTATTAATAGGGAAAAAAAATACTCTGGCTTTATCCAGAGTGCAGAGGTTAGCCTCGGGACCACCAAGGACAATAGGCTGAACATTGATGACCCTTTATCTCTGAGTCTCTCCTTCCTTGGTTTGCCTTCTTCTGGCTCTTCAATCTCTTCCCATTTCTTTTCTGCAGCCATCGTGGTCCTCTTCATCACCTTGAGACGCGGCAAGAAGGAGCCCTTGATCATTTCCGAGGAGGATGTGCGGGAGAATGTGGTGACCTATGACGACGAAGGGGGTGGTGAGGCGGACACGGAGGCCTTTGACATCACTGCCTTGAGGAACCCGTCTGCAGCCGAGGAGTTCAAGTACCGCAGGGACATCAGACCCGAGGTGAAGCTCACCCCCAGGCACCAGACACTGTCCACCCTGGAGAGTATAGACGTGCAGGAGTTCATTAAGCAGAGACTGGCAGAAGCCGACCTGGACCCCAGCGTGCCCCCCTATGACTCTCTCCAGACTTATGCGTACGAGGGGCAGAGGTCAGAAGCAGGGTCCATCAGCTCCCTGGACTCAGCCACCACCCAATCGGACCAGGATTACCACTACCTGGGAGACTGGGGACCCGAGTTTAAAAAGTTAGCCGAACTCTATGGAGAAATAGAATCGGAACGAACAACTTAGGGGGTCCCTTGTGCCCACGCTTTTGGATTTGCTTCCAAAAGGGAACGAGAAGAAACCTCAACACTGACCAAGGACCAAGCGGGGGAGGAAACGGAGACTTGGGTACCAGCGGTCCACTGGCTCCTGTCGAAACAAGTGTCCTTTTCGTGATCCAAACTGGGTTCTTGAGCTGGAAGAAAGGGAATGCAGAAGAATCGGCTCCTGTCCCTGGTGTATATTTTCAGTTGCTCAATAAAAGTCTGTGCTACTCTTTGATTAAGGATATATCTGAATGAAGCCACACATGGATATTTTGTTTCGATTCTCTTTTGTGGTTTTTTTTTGTTGTTGTTGTTGTTTGTTTGTTTGTTTTTCCTAGAGCAAAATGCATAGCAAAATGGTTCAAAAGCATTTCTGATTTTGATGTCTAAGGAGTGGTTCACTGCAAAAAATGAAACTTGTGGGAGTAATGATGACCTCGTTTTCACTGTCTTGGACAGCCCCTTGAGACCCGCACTCAGTTCTTTGGCTAGATCCCATTAGGCGTTGGGTTTAAATTAAGGGAAGCATCCCCAAGAAACCAGGACACTCTGCCATCGGCTTGTACGTATCATTGTTTTTTCTTTGCCCTCCCCAGTTATTTTCTCCATACAAAATTGATGGAGCATGGGGACCTGCTGCTTGCACTATGCTTTATGCAACTCTGCACCTCGTGGGCACCGCTCAGAAGTGCGCAAACCATTGCCTCTTTCACCTGCCCCATTTGACAGTTATTTTGACAAGAAGCCCTTTGAAAAAGAGAGAGAAAGAGTGGTTTGAGGTATGCCGAGATAATATGCTATAGCAGGGAAAGATTGGATTGGAGTAAAAGACTACCAACCTTAGCCTGTGTGATAACTAGGGAAACAGGATTCTCCCCTCCCCCCATTCATGTCATTGCAATGAAATCAGCAGTGTAGACCATTCCCACATCTAAAATCAGGTTTACTATCTTTTTTTTTTAAATCAAATTATCTTGTGGTTATTTTATGCTTCATTCTTATTTACTTATTTACAACCTAGATGTCCTAAAGTGAGGAACTTCTGGAAGAGTTTAAGTGTAGTCTGAAAACCTCAATTCACCTCAACTTAATGGATTTAAGATCAGTTGGCCTTTATTCTTTCCATGTCTCAGGCTTTCCCCATTTCACTGACTGATTAGCCTTTGCTTAGTTAAGGGACTACAGGAATTGGTAGGACTACCAATTGAAAAAAGGAATAAAATGGGGGAAAAAAAGAGATTAGCATATTTTATCCTCTGACATATATCCCAAAGTCGTTGATCTTTAAAGGTATCAAACTATAAAACAGAGATGACAAATAATGCCCAACTCATCTCCTGGGATATGAAGGGGAAGTGTCGGAAAGGAAAGCATCTATAAAATCCTTTATCAACTGCAATATGTTCTGTAATATAAAGATCTGCAGACCCTAATTTTCTAATTCTATTAGACTATAAAATATAATCATACATTTTGAATAATATATATTATTTTGGGAAAACTTTATAAAATCTCCATGGTGAAATAAATAACTACTGAATATATAATATGCAAGTTTAATGATTTTGCTATTTTCCCAATAAGCTAATTTTCTTATAATTTCTAGCTTTTATTCTCCTCAAATTGTTGATATTTTTGTTGTTGTAATTGGTCTTGAAATTAGAATTTATAGCATGATGATTCTATACTACAAAACTGGTCAGAATTATGTATGTCAGATAAATTGGAGTTTTGCAACCTACAAAATGAGAATTCTTTGAAGGGGAAGTTTTCCTTTGCTCTTTTAAGTTATCACAATCTAATGTCTCTAAAAGTTCTATGATGTCTAATGTCTGATTCCACCTATGTGCAACATTTTGAAATTTGCCTCTGTTTGCAATAGCCCTGCACTGTCATATGAGTATTGGAGGTATGAGAAGAAAGTTTTATTTGTATGATTCTTAATTTGTGTTTTCAACCTAAGGAATAAAATTCAATTTAAGTTTTTTACATTTTAACTTTCCAGATGCTGCATTATCAATTTTAATAAAATATAGTAATAGTGCTTACTTGGTATAACACAGTATCTAAGGAGACATTTATGAACTGTGGGGAATAACCTTTGGGATCACATAAACTGCTTCTGCGAATACTGACAACATTTACCTGAAAGAGTAAACATTAGAGAAATCATTGGATACTGATGTGACGTACCTGGGAAAAGAGGACCAAGAAGGCAGTTTGTGGAAGTCCATTAAGCTTTTGGGTTTAGATTTTGGTTGAAATATGCGTGGTTTTTGTTTCATTTTTTTCAAAGAATTTAATATTCACTCTGTAATTCACAGGTAAGGGTTTTAAAAAAAGACCACGTGTGTATGAACTCAATGACTTACATAAAAGCCACCCTCCTCTTGCATGATTTTGAGTACTAAAATATTTTCTGATTTTGAAGAAAAAGTGCCCCAGATCTATCTTACTTCCAACGCACATTATAATGATAATCAATTGCTAACAATCCCCAAATAACATATAGAAGAAGGTAAAATGGAGTGTATTGTCTTAAATTACTGCTTTTGTGCGACTTTAGTTTAGAATTTTGTTAATGAAAGCATTCCAGGTATTATTTTTATATGAGCTCTGAAATTAGACAATTATAGTATTATTAAAAGTATGGTTTGGGTCTCATTTTTCTGCTGAGTAGTTTTAAAAATAACAATAATAGATAAATGCTCTGCAGAGGGACTGAGTCATTCTATACTCCATTTCTGGGCTTTTAAAATCCAATATGTCTATGCTAAAAGAAAATTCCCAGAGTTTAGGAGGCAGAATTTGCACATCAACCCAGAGCATTATCTAGACACAGCTTTGCAACATGTGTGATTCTGAAATGGAATCACTAAAATGTTCGCACATTTTGTAAGCTTTCGTTGATATTTATATCTAAATAAAATGCTCATTCTTAAATGAATTTATTTCTAATAAAGTAATTTTCTACAGACAGACTTAATACAAAATGGTGAGTACTATATTTAAACATAAAGAGCTATGATATTTTTTATAAAAGTTTTTCCTTATGTGAGCTTGTAAATTTTAAATATTCTTTGTGTAATCATTGAGAAATTAATAGGTCTCACAGAAATCACTAATGACCCATCATCAGAAGCATTTTTTAATGGCAAACCATTTTATGAGAAATCTGTTCAAACAGAGATTTGAAGAGGCAATTAAAGAGGGATGATCAATAAGGATCCATATTGAGTTAACTTATGCTTCCCCAATGCAAGATATAAAATATTCTGAAAGAAATTGCCTTCCATATTTACAAACATTTAAAACTCACATTTATCTTGAATAATATTTGAAGAACAAAAATAATGTTAAAGTGGTAACTTGAATATTAATTTAATCAAATAAGTTAAATATATAGACAATACAGAACAGGCACAATTAGTAGAGTAACAAGTCACATTTAGAAATAAATTAATGAAGACTGTGCATCCATTAAATACTTATAAGTGCTTTGACTTAAGTTATTTTGCATACTGTTACACACTGAGATACATACGTGGAAAGAGATAGGTGCATCGAGTGTACCATATTTAGAAAAGTTAAAATATTAAACACAAAATTACTTATTGTTTTCTTTGCTCTTCCTTATCTACATCCAAGTTTTATTATTAATTTAACTGAAAGTGCAAAGAAAATAAATTTAGATAGAAATATTCAAAAATCATTTGAAAGGGTAATTCAACTAATTATGGTGATAGATAAATAGGTATAGATCCAGTACATTGAAGGTAAATTTTTCATTAATTATCACTGAAATAAGTGATTAAAAAAGTTAAATAAGTGATTAAAAAATTAAATGTATAATATGATTTCTCTGAAAGTAGGGAAGAAGCACATTTTTTAAAAATCTAAAGTGTGCTTAGGTAAAAGTTATGCTAATATTCAATTAACTTAATTGACTTTCCACTTGAAGAATGGAACAAATTTCAGAAAACTTTGGAAATATGCGACAAATTTCTTCTTGTCCTTTAGGATTGGAAGAATTTTAAATTATCTGAAAGAAAAAAATGTATTTCAACTTTTATTGCCTATACATGTGTAGAAGTAGAAAATAAAACATAAGGTTAGAATTTTAATTTTAAATAAAAGAAGGCATATAAAAGAGCATAATCTTTTTTAAAGAATTGCTGCAAAAAATCATTCTCTGATGAAAAATGAGTATGCTTATCCATTTTTCAGATCTAAGGAAATGAAGTATTTTTGCTCTTCAGCACTAGAGACATCAAACTTATTTAAGCAATAATTTCATTTCAGTCATAGGTAACACTGAATAGAGAATATGGGCATCCAAGGACTCTTGAAATTCTATTCTGTGAGGAAATATCATTTATAAAGTGGTTCCATCCCTTTGCTTAGTCCCAATTTCCAGAATATTAGGTTTGGAAATAAATAAACCGAGTATCAATAAACATAAAATCTTAGTATTATGTCTATAATTTAATCAAGTCAATGTTTCTATTGCCAAAATTCATCAAACTTCTACTCTAAACCATCTATATTCATTTTCAAAGTGTCATTTAAATGCTTTAGCTTTAAACAGAAATTGATATAATTTAACATTAAGATTTTCTAAACATATCCTAGACAATAGATTCTATTTTTGAAAGTAAGACTACAGAAATGTCCTCATCATAATTGTGATATCTGTGCTGACAAGGAAACTAATCCTATTTTAATGTTCACCTTCATATAAAAATTATAGGCAATATAATAAAAAGTAATAGATGGCAAGTCACTGCTAAGAAATGTTGTAGGTTCATATTATAACTTTAGTAATAATGTCAAACTCTTAAAATGTTTTATAGGACAAAAAGCTGATACAGATGCATAAAGAGCAGTTCAAATAAATATCCAAATATTGATTCTTTGTAAGGTAGTGAATGTTCATGGAGGGACATAAAGATAATGTAAGAAGTTAAGACAATTGGTTATACTTTAACCAACCCACT